AATTTTCCCGTATCTCCAAGGGTTTAGGAGTTATTGAGGAAAAACGAAATTTTTTTCCAAAAGTTCGCCGTTTCGACGCTGGGATGCTCGGATTTTGTCAACATCAATAAAATGCCATATAATCATATGTAACTCATTAAATATCGAAATTAGAAGAAGAATGCACTATTTTTAATTATAGGAAATGCCTTTTTCTAAGGTACATAAACTTTTCGGATTGACTGTATAGCCAATACATCCTTAAAACGTGACACTGTTTAACAGATTCACGTTTCAAATGCACTCGTCTGTCACCTATAAATATAACCGATTCTGTGAGGATCAATTTCTGTCAACCAATTCCTCGCCGCGTTCGACGGTCTACTAAATTCGAAACAGCTCGAAAGAGCATCAAGTGTTACCGTGAACCTCCGACTCTTTTATGCAACGTGTCTCAATTAATACCAATTAGACGGATACAAACGATGACAAAGTGAGAGAATCCTGTAAATCGACTAGATATGAAACGAACCAATGTTTTCGTACGAGAAACCGTGGTGGGCGTTTAAGAGTTTGAAAAGATGTGGAAAAGACACGGAAGATCGGAAGCGACGTGCTCGAGAGCCAGGGCCCAGTCGCATTTTCCTCTAGTGACCCGAATTGCCTGCTTCCTGTTACCACTGCCCACTCTACCGCCATGCAACACACCTGCATATCTTGTTCGAACACGATTCAAGTATAAAACCGTGTACTGACACAGGTGATGATTTGCATTTTTCCAACGTTCCTATCTCTTAATTTCGAGAAAACTAAATAAGAGACTTGTTTCTCATTCTAACTTAATTCATTCTGTATGTCAATTAAAAAACAATGAGAAACGTACAGAAACATTAAGTTTATGAAGTCTTCTATTGAACATTGATTAGCGATAATTGAAAGGATGTTTAATTTCTAATTAATCATTGAGCGTCCATATCATTTGAGGACAATCGCGGTTGTTTTCTAAGCTAGTGATCAAGTGCGGATCGCCTAACCAAGCAGGAAACAAAAGGTGTCGGGTTACATCCTCGCGTTCCGTTGCATAATGAACCAGTATTCAATTCTCTGATTGACGTAACATGTTTGCCTACCGGCTCGTTCCTCCACGCGGCGAGTGCCTCTTTTCCACCTATCATCGAGTCACGCAACGATTCAATTGTCAAAAATCGAGACACTCACAGAAGCCGTCCTGATTTCAATGCCGTGTTCCTACGAGAATTTCAAACAGTAGGAGCCTCATAACGATGAGAAGTTGCATTTTTAATGTGCAACGCATCGGAGGAGCCGCGAGATGAATTTAGATAATGATCTCTTTATGCGAACGCCGTGTTGGAACGCAGGGACGAGAAGAGAAGCAGATCCATTCTACCTTGACGATCTCCGTGTGGGAATTAAAGGTAGCTACCGGGAAATCCTAGATCTAATCGATCGACAATTCTACCTGGCACGGCGATCTGCAATCTGGCATCTATGGACGAAGAATCGTGTGAGAGTATCGATGAATATTCCTACCGAAGAACCATGCGTAATTAGCTGTTCGATGTAAAGTACCTTTCGGTTTCAATAATCTCTGCGAATTTTTCTATTGTCCAAACGAAGAGTTCCTCGTTCACTATCTACCCGATGATAACACCAGTTATTTTGTTTTTTATCAACGTTATCGTGGGAGACGATATATCTTGAGTTTGTTGTTGTCAAAACGAAGCATTTATGATTTCTGAGAACAGACATTTCACGATTCCTCCGTACGTAGACAAATGATCGTACGTTCTGTGGAAATCCGAGGAAAGAGAGAATAGAAAGAGGGTACGTGGAGGTATCTTTGAATGTCCCACGACGAAAGGTCGAGTCACGATCGAACACGGGGCGAAAGTATCGCCTTTTTCGGGTCAGCTCTCAAGCATTTCGAAATCGAGGCCTGACGCGGAATCTTCAAGCGGTCGCGATATTTTCAGTCACGACTGGCCATTCGATATTTTATTCATAACGCGTTTGACACAGTCCCTGTCTTTGCTGCTCCACCGCGCGTGCGGGGCTTCATAGAAAAGATCACCGCGCCGTTTCCTCCGCGTTCGATGCAACCCCGATGATATTCTCGTTTGTTGATCGTTCAAGAAATTCGACTGGCTCAACAGATGAAATTCATAACGTTTGCTTGTACAAAGATTTCCTAGTTACGTACAAGTTAAAATTACCTATTCACTGTTTTAACTGTATCGATCACGGCAGATGTTAGATTTCGGAAATACGTAAATATACGTTTCAGAATTTGCATGTGTCACGTTAGCTTCTACATAATAATATTAATAAACGGAGGTTCAGCAGTTAAAAGAAGCTTGCGAAGAATACCTTGTAACAATCGCGATTCCCACGGAGCGTCTCTTCCAAACTCTGGTCAGGAGCTCTGCAAGGATCGATTTTCACCGAATATCTACAGCGTTTCACGGAACCGGAGCGACACTGCTTCCTCGCGTGCAGCAGCAGCGGACGGATACAATTCGCACAAGAAAACTTCATTTCGAACACGGAAGAACTCGATGGGGAGTCGCATAGCTGCTCGTGAACGAGTAAACTGGTCGATCGCTCGCGACTGATTGCAAGATTACAGAGTCTCGTTGCAGCATGTACCGTTTTATCGGGAACGCGATTACTTCTCGATAAATAGTCGACACGCGATTGCAAGATTCTGTCGGGCAAAACGATCCACACCGATTCGGTCTCCGATCGAAAAACTCACATGGTCACGCCCTTATCTCTTCTTTGTTTCGGTTCGCGTTTGAGATAACCGAGATTGTATAATAGCGTACTCTTAAGAGTTATTCGCATATGTTACTTCACAGATCCTATAAACAAGAAAACTTTGTAGAGACAAAGAATCTATGAGTGACGAACTTGACAGAAATTGATCCTCTGCACCTTATCCTCTGCGCCTCAAATATATCCAGAACGCTTTGCTTCCGGCTAGCATACATACACCACACACCAGGAGGTTTATTTATCTCACGGCTTACTAAATCGTCCACTTCCTAGACAAGATAAACAACGCATACTATCTTTTATCCACGAACTTGGTATCGATGATACAACGATTGGGCCGTACGCCTCTCTCGATTAGGAGCGTTTCTGGAACAGTGAACGAGGGTAATTCTCTTGGCTCGTTACACAACGAGTCATTGATCCATCCGTCGATTTTAACGCGGATGAGACCACGCTGCACGCACTATGACAATGACAATGAGCCGGTGGTTACGTGGATTCCAACGAGTGGCACGTCGTCACACTGCCCGACAGATATACCTTTGGTAGCGATAACCGTCGACGGTACTGGCCGTCGTCACTGATTTCGACCGAGCTGAGTGATTTGTGTTACCACTGGGCCAGGCGATCACCGGCTGACTGGAGAAGTGTCTCGGCTTCCACTTTTACAGACCGAATAGAATAGAACGATATTTGAAAGTAAAAGTATCGCGTCGCCTCTCTTTCAGACAGACAGGTCTCATTGGTAGTCGGCGGTCCGGTGCGGATCTAGGAAGAATTCCAGCAGCCAAAGATAAAGTCTCGTGAAACGAAACATACATGAGGTAAAAATTTGAGACGCCTGGACCGTCGAAACAGCGACGTACTCCAGAGCAAGAGGAGCTAGTCGAGACGTCGTGGGATCCGAAAATTTACAACGGTGTTTATGAGAAACGCAGGTTTTTCCTTCTACGCAGATGATAATCAGGCTACGTCAATGGACTGCTTCCTCTTAGGTGATAAGAGAAGCGCTGGTGAAAAACCGAATTTGAAAATAAACGCGACGCCTAATTGCGAGAATTGAACAATGCGCGTAATCGATGTACTTCCATACTATAGAAGGAATCGTATAAGTTAGTAAAAATAGCGTGAAATGTCGAGGCGTAACGTGGCTGAACCCACGCACGGAATGCACAAAGCGCGGGCATGCACGTGTGCAACGTGGTTTGTAAACACGTTGATTCGTATGTTAAACAGATAGATAAAAGCAAGTATGCAATGTTTGCAAGTACGTATGTACAAAGGAAAAGCATGCATAAAAGATTCGTGGTAGGAGCATCCCTACGACTAGACGGTTGTACGCGAAGAGAGTAACGACGACGCAGCAGGAAAATGTGAATCCTTGTCGGAGGTCGTCTTATCGATCTCCGGGAAAAAGATTATTCATTTAATTAATCGGTAGTTCTTACGAACCGTGAAGCGCACGGAACGAGAGAGACGGCACGTGGGATGAAAATATAGAACTGACTACCGTTCAGAAGGTATAAACAAGCAGATAAAGCCGATCTGTGTGTAGACACGTAGACGATTCATTAATGTTCTCTAGATACCGAGATACAAATTCCATGGCTCTCGGCGAATGAACAGACCGTTTGTTCGCCAACTGAAATATAGAGGAGAACCGTGACGTTGCGTAAGATAAATTGCGCGACTGTTCACGGGAACAACGATGTGCGTCGGTGGTAATGATGTTGCTGCGATACGGTCTGTGCCGCTAATCATAAGCCTCTTCGGCTGACAATTGAGGTATTCGTGCGGTTTAAATAGACGCTACCTCAATGGTCGTCGTCCGTTCAATGAGTTTACGTAAATTCTATTTATCGCCTCTTTCCCCCTGCCTGCCTGCAATTTCCGTTCTCCTTTAAATAGTTCTAGCTATCGTTGCGTGGTAAACACGCCTCCTTCGGAGCAAGTTTCCGACGTAAGAATAAATTAAAAAGCGACTGATGGTTTTTAGAGTCACACGGCCGCTTCTTCTGCTCGCTATTTTTAACGATTTCATATCTTAAGCTTATGAATGAATGATGATATCTACTCACTTTGGATGATCTTGCTCTGTCTGGCTGAACCTCGGCGATGTCGGACTCGTCCCCGCTGAGGCTGGACACGGTCGAGCAGTCTGAGATTTTTCGCACCGGTGGAATGTCCAGAAGATCGACCTTCGTCTCCTCTTGCAACGCCGACGCATTTTCCGACGTGTACCTCGCGAACTGTGTGTTGAGCTTCGAGAAGTAGGACTCGGTGGAGTCTAAACAAGAGTTTCTCCTACTACCGACCTCGCTGAAATTTCTGAACAGATGTTCGAATTATTATCGAGCACTAATTGCAACGTGAAGAGGGGGAGCGTATCGAGAATCGCGTACCTTGCAGCGACGGCGTTGACGGAATCGAGGCACGAAGAATCGGAGTGTCTTCTACTCCGACAGACTTGTAGGAATTGAGTATCGAGAGATTCGCGTATTTCGTCACAGTCCAAACAGGAGCAACTACTCGCTTGGCTAGGCGTACCACTGGTCCCCTCGTATTTCTCTACGTCCAAATTGCTCCTTTCCAGTTTCTCGTCCAGATAAGAATAATCCGAGTAATCGCTGACGACCACGCTCGGCGTTCTCCAGTATCTCGGCCTCTCTTCGTTCTGTTCCGATTCGCCACCCTCAACCATGTTCGAACTATCCCATTCTACAAAGAATTTTCCATTAATTTCTCCCCTGAACGCTTTCCCTAGGCTTGGAAAACATCGCGTTAAGAGTTTTGATTTCGAAACGCGTTTACAAGTTCGGATCGAAGATGTTTCGAAAACAGCTTGGCGCGAGTGGCTCGTACATTTTCCGTTCGAGGAATTCCTAATTAGAGCGGCATTTGTAGAATTAGAAAGACGACGTGACGCGACGGGTAAACCGAACCACGTAGAAGAAGAAAGACGCAATGCCGATGAAAAAAAAGGAAAGGGACGACGATGATGTCATTGACACAGCACGCATGGTCAGGAATCATGCTGCGAACGCGGATCCCCTCTCTCCGCCGAGAGGGGGATAGCAACCGGTGGCACGATTTCCATCCCCCTTTTACCTTTTATTTGATCCTCGTCGCTGAGCACCGCACTGTCAGAGCTGCAGCATCTGGTGACCCGCAGTTTGTGTCGTTTCTGTTGGTGCGCGTTCAGCGACGACGACGTGTCCTCGTCGCTGGCCGCGGCTGAGTCGAGGCTCCAGCAGCGAGCCATTGATCCTCTCCTTCGATCAGCGTCCGTCTCGATGCCCTCATCGCTCTGCGGGCTCTTGCTCAGAGACCGAACCATCGGCATTCTGACCGTGTCGAACTCGTCGTAAGTCTCGTTCTCCTCGATCGGATCGATGCCGATGCCCTCGACAGTGCTTTGTTGCTTCTTCGACTTCATTCCGTCCCCGTCTCTACTACCTGCGTCCTTTTTCTCACCGAATAACTGCTCGAGGCTCCGCGCCAACTCGCATACCGACGAACTAGCGTCGCTCCCGGCGACGTACTGATTCTCCACGATGCCGACGCGTCGTTTTCGTGAGATCTGCGCGACCGAGGACGACGGCTCCGCGTTCTGCTTCCGCGACGGCTCTTCCACGGCGGTGGCCGTCACCACCTTCGCCCGTTCTTCGCGCGCCTCCACCCGCGTTGTCACCAGCTGTTTAGACTGTCCCGTTCTCGACGCCGCGGCACGTTGGACGTCACGTCGTTCGCTTCGCCGGGAAGATGCGCATCGTCCTCTCAACGACCAGACACGGACGTTCGACGCTCGATTTGAAATATGGGAGACGCATCGCGCATTCACTCTGAACCAATCGCGGCGGCGGCGACGACGGTAATAGAGGCCGCCATGCTCGGTGCCATACACCATGCGATAGCTAGACGGGAAACGTGGCCCATTCGTTTGACCCGATTTCAACGGCCGACCGCAATTCGATTTCAAGCCGACGAGATCCTTATCACGAGTAATATTACACGAAATAATATCGTCCTCTTCCTTATTGCTCTTATTCTCGCTCTCAAAGAAAGGTATCTCCTCTTCCTCGTTATTAGGCGAACGCGTCGGATTCGCGTTCTTCGGGAAATTCAATCGTTTCTTCGTCGAATTTCTCGTCATATTGACCTCGTTGTTGTTGGTTTGCTCTCGATTCGCAATGACGGTATCGTTTGACAGGGATGATTCGCTGAAACGAGAAGAAAACGTGACTCGAAAGTGGAATCCGAAGAACTTTGATCGACACAATTTTCGAATATCTACTAGTCGATTAGGTTACAGGCATCGATCAAATTATCGATGTAACGAGTCGAAAAATTAGATCATTCGGTTCTACGTTTCGTTCAGTTTCTAAATATTCGTAAAAAATACAACTACTTTTATGGCATATTATACGTACGGACGTGAACAATATTAGTGATTCAAATTTTTATTAGAAACCAATAAAAATGTTTAATGAACGTTTACATGTTAAACCGAGTCTTTCGCCGTCCCGCAAAGAAGCACGCTGTTCAGTGCAATATTAGAAAAATTATTTCATTTCGGAACGTGTATATATATGGTCTGAGCAACAAATTGTTCTAGTAGCAACACTGCCATCATGAACTGTTATCTAATCTCAAAGTTGGGCCATTACGTTACCGATATTTCCCATACAAAACGAACTATATACACATTCCTATTTCGGTTTTTTGACGTACAATTAAACTTATTGTTCTTAGACAATAAATCAATCGCCTTGGTAATACGTAGCATAGAACGATGTATAAATAGACGGATTATCATAAAGAAACAGAAAATGTAAGAAAAAAGTTATTATCAGGACTCGTAAAAACAGCTGTGACGCATGGCTCATCCTTGATTTTCTGGTGGACGCGTGTCGATGATCATGGTTTCGAGCAAAAAACGTTTTCAAATAAAGTGAGACGATTTATCGCCAAGTCGGACATACCGGTGGAAGCCACGGCGAGTCAAGGACCGTATATCCGGGTCGGAGAAATGCAAAGGGAAAGATGGATGGAAATGGAAGGTATGCCAGGGTTGCTTCTTGTTCCTTCGATTGACGTCACAAGTGCGTCATCGGAGGCAAAGAAACAAGAAAGTGCGATTGAATGATCGCGGTTGCAGCAACCGTCGCGCGTATATACGTACGCACACGCGCGCGTACGTATACCACATGTATCGCGTTTGATTCTTTCTCTTTCTCATACAATCGGTCCATTATCTCGTCAGTCCAAGTGCCCCTTGGCCACTTGAGCCTATCTGCACCGCGACCGTTCCGATCCGCGGCTCTTGTTCATTGTACGAAATGACCGTGTGCAACCGAACGAAAGAAATAAAATGCACGCAACTCTCTTTCCCATCGTTTCCGTCTTTATTTTTAATATCACCCACGCGTTATTTTCTCTCGGGCACTCGTTAACCACGCATACACGTTCAACGGATGATAAGATTACGATCCCCGATAGTTTTTTCTTTCGGATGAAACGACATGTAAATATGCATGTCGGAAATTGGAATAGTAATGCTGGGATCGATTTTTTTCTCTCGATCTTAAAACCGAAACTAATATAAACTTGGAAACCTGTTCTAAACAAGGTGTTTTTACGCTATACGGAGCACAATATTGTGATGAAACCGGTCGTGTTTAGTAAACTGAGATAAGAACATTTGTAAATAACAATTCTACAAACGTGTTGGAAAAATCTTCCAGTTTGACCGCCTCGTTTTTGGGACGTAGTTTCGTTTAGGAAGTCGAGGATGACACGAACGAAGGAATGTAACGCTAGCTAACGTAGTCGTTGGATGTAATATCTCTGTCGAAACTCGGTCAAAGTCGGCCCAAGGCTAATGACTTGTTCTTTCTAAATGGCCATACACATAATACTTATGTATGCTTATATTAACTCTAAATGACGGATGTTTAAGAAACAATTTATAGGAGTTGTGAGAATGAATTGGTAGAAACTATTAGGTACGGACGATTCATGCGGGACAGGTTTCATGCAGAAAAATGAAAAGAATTATGTTACATTTTTTTTATTCCACTGTACAATTCTTACCTGTCCATTCTGATGTCTTATTCTGCATTTTATTTTCGATCGTTAACGAAAGCTGTTACAACCAAAAGATTCGAAAATGTCGTTCAAGAAACGAAGGAACAGATATTTGAAATTGCTCTTTAACACAATGATACAACGAGATCTAGTTAAATTAGGGATCTAAGGAATTTAGCTAAGAAATTTTTGACGATTCGTCGTCACCCTCTGTCCACGGGTATTAACTTTGAATCGTGGTAATTGATCGACGCAACGTATGCAACGATTGCACGTCAATCGTAGCTGATGGCCGACTGAACTCGAGATTTGAACTTGACCACTCTGTGGTGACCACCTATACCAGAGTTCCTCTATGAAAGGAGGGGGATCGATTGCATTGAAATTGGTTCTCCTAGATCAGAAGCATTCCACCGTCCACCTACAATTGACGCAAGAGTTATTATTACGATTAAATCTACACGGCTGCTAGCTTTCACGTGATCTCATTACCGATCTGCCTGTTCTTTCAATCGTGGGAAACGATCAAGCTGATATTCTACTGTCTTTTATATAATCACACTTATTAGGAAGTTGAAATAAAACTTTGTACATTTCACAGTTTCTGCTCGACTCTTTAGATCCGTTCAGAGTACTTCATAAAATGTAATATCTTCGGGATCTAATGGCGAGACCAATGTTGCAAACATTTTTGGTTTCTCTGCATTTTTCATCGACTCCCAAGGTTTCACCCATTTGTTGATTTGTATTCCAGTCTTCAAATTTTTTAAAATAATCTCAATGGATGGCTTAGTGACCAGAATCGTCCCACTTTGGACGTTGGCTCTCATGAACTTCCAAATTTCAATATGCTCAGACTCTGGGACGTAAAACTCGAACGGATTGTTCATGATAATGATATCACTCTTTTTAATTATATCAGGGCACGCTTCGATTCGCTTATTAACGATCTCAACACGGTCATTCATGCCGTATTTATTCACTATATTGTGTTGCAATGCACAGAGCTCTTTGTTCATTTCAACTCCAATAATTGCTTTGGCAGAAGTAAATACGTATGCCTAGAATATAGATTGAGACAAGTGACGTCTACATTCCATATTAATCGATATTTCGAAATGAAATAAATTGTTATACCCCGTACAAAACAGCGCCAAGCCTAGATCCTACGTCCAACAAGGTTTTTCCTTCCAACGATGGTGAAACATTTTGAAATATGTACAACAAAGCAGATACGGACAATGAATGTGATATAATATCTGAAAAACAAAGTTTCATTTCTCTGGAGCCAGGAGAATCACGGAAATCTATTATATATTCTTACTATATTCTTCCACGCTAGTAGATCCACAGTCACCACAGTATAAAGTATGAATTCGACCGTTTTCTATGAGCTCGTCCAGTTCTTCGTCGTTATAAAGGAAGGCATCGATGTGCTTCGTCAATTTATCGTTACAATCTGAATTCTGTATAATTACAAGATATGCAATGATTTGTGGATGAACTACAGTACTCTTATTTCTTGTATTCCAACATACCAAACCAACCGTTGGTGTTATAATTTGTTCAGATGGAAATATACCATCGAACGGTACTCTCTGCTTAATGTCTAAAATGATCTTTCGTATTTTAATTAATGGTGCATTCTGTACTTTGTATTCCTCCAGAATAGCTCCTGCAAAATATCATTGTTTCGTAGTTTTCGTAATGCTGATCTATCTATACATACTTTCCGAGAGAGATCGAATTTTCATTTCCTCGGGTTTCCAATTATCAGCGATAAAGGTCAGAAACGTCTGTTGATCAGCGGTACTTAGAGAACTCATGATCGCCGTAAAAGACTCTATGGCATTCTTTACAGACATCGTAAACTTTCAAATAAGATCGCAATTACAAAACTCCTGAATACATTTTCAAAGAACTTCGAACGACTTTTCTTATTAACAAATCATTAATCCTCTAATACATAAGTACATTCAGTACAGAAATATGGTATTCGTGATACCGAGGGAAGGATGAAGATAGTATAATCGCAGAAGTTAATGAATTGAAGTCCTAAATGCACTTTTCTTGAAGGAACGTGGTTATGTCACTTAGAGTTGAAATATCTCTGCCAGATATATCTGTCATCTAAATTCCTTTTAATAAATCGAAATAGGAGACCAGACACTACCGGAGCGACACTATTTAATTATACATTTCTTATTCATACACTTCCACTGTAGTTCTAAATTCCTGGCAAACAGAATCTTTCAAACTAGCAACCTGATCTATTTATACATATGAAACGATCGTGTCACGAAACAAATGTTAGTGTCAAGTGCGCGCGGACTATCCGATTAATAAAAACGATTATAAATTTCGTTTGTTTCTTTCATTCACGTGATCGTCAATGAAGCCAGTGTTGTAAGACGTAAGGAATTTTAACTGCGGCACCTGACCCTGACCATATAACCGTATCTACGAGACATCCAGATATGAACAAAATGGGAAACATTGAAAAAACGTAAGGAGCAAAGAAATGATAAGAGTTTTTCTCACTAAATTTCTCATGTCTTAAACCATAAATGAAAGTCATCTGCGTATCAGATCAGACGCACGTGTTTTCTGTACTTTGGACCATACTAATTTGAACGCCTATGTATAGTATTGATGACTCTAAAAGTAAATACTGGTAAGGAATGATTAATTGGTCGTCTTGCGATTCTTAGAGTTGTGTTATCGTGAAAAAAGGCGATGACGATGCAACTACACGAAAATACAAAAAAGAAATGACGGTAGTTGACGTAGTTGATAGTCACTCAGTGCTCTAGCCGGAGACCAGAGAGTTTCTCTCTGATAAAACAAAAACACAGTGTACCACAGTACTTGAGTTTTCCTCGTCGACGACAGTATTAAAGTTTTTAATCAGACCATGAAACCGCTGGCGGATTTACCTCTGATATCAAGATTGTCGGCGAGCGTGATACGAATTTTGGGATGCAATCCTGGGATGATGACGTTGCAGGGTACAAACACATACCTCGTTGGAACTGGCACCAGGTAGATGAGCGAATTTATTGGTTATTATCAGCATGAATCAATGCATGCCTTTTGTCTCCAAACAGGCGCATACTGATAGACTCGGGTGAGGCAGAAACTGCCAATAAGTATACGAAGGTATTGAAACAAGTATTGGAGGATGAAAAGGCAACTGTCGAGCACTTAGTGGTTACACATTGGCACGGTGACCATCTAGGAGGAGTGAATTCTGTTCAACAATTGTTGAAGAGTTTGAATGGTACAGGAACAGCCAGCACAGTATGGAAGCTACCAAGAGCGCCGGATGATCAACCAAGCTTGAGCGAAGCTGAGAAAAAAACTTCGTGGGAAAACTTGAGAGACGAACAGATATTTGAAGTGGAAGGTGCAAAAATCCGTGTTCAGTATACTCCAGGACATACCACCGACCATGTTTCCCTCCTGATGGAAGATGAACAGATATTGTTCAGTGGAGATTGTATTCTTGGAGAAAGAACAACGGTCTTTGAAGATTTATATACTTATTTAGGTTCCCTGAGGAAAATTTTGGCAATGAAACCGAAGGTGATCTACCCGGGTCATGGATCAGTGATAGAGGATCCAGAACCCTCGATCAAGTTTTATATCGAGCACAGGCTGAAAAGAGAGAATGACATTTTGGCTGTTCTTAGTGAAAAGGGAGAGAACAGCACGCTGTCTGAAATTGACATCGTGAAAAATTTATATACGGTGACTATCTATTTCTTATCACCTCGCACGTGGCACTGCTATTTGAACACATAGGTCGGATGTCTAATGCAGAATCGGATATTTCTAGGACATCTCGGAAAGCATGTGGGAGGCAGCAGCTCACAACGTGAATTGCCACCTTGTCAAGTTGTTAAAAGAAGGCAGAGTGAAAGGTGAGAAAGGAAAGTGGCAAAGTATATAAAAGAAATGATATTTAATAAAGTTATTTAATTTAAAATTGTTACGTCGTAGAATTATATCCGCCGCGTTTCGCAAAGTTACGTTCCTAAATATTGTACAAAAACAGATGGACAGAATACAGCGTGTTACGATTACTTTATAATTTATTCATGAAGTCTAATACTATAAATTCCATACCCATGTCGAAAGAAAATTTGTGAGAAAAATCATGTCGAGAAAGCGATGCTGTGAAACATTTATTCGATTTACAGAAGCAAAAATGAATTAATACATCGTTCATCAATCTTTTTCTCTCCTCTCTCTCTCTCTCTCTCTTTCTTTCTTCTCCTGGAGTTTAGTTTTTAGGCTGAGAACACTTAAAAGTGTGCGTACAGTGTACAGTTAATCGTCACGAACAATTTCACGAAGAGCACACGCCACATAGTTATAATGATCTGTTTAATCCGATTAACATGTATATGCAGTATTTGCATTCTTTCTTCCTTCTTTTTCTCTCTCCTCTCAACTCGGCTAGTTAAAATACGTGACACATGAATAAGATGTTCGATATAAAATATATGTTTCTCTACAAAGATTATTACATATCACGACAGTGAAACGTTTTCAATATTCATCGTTATAAAACCTGGTTCTCTATTAGATAAAACGTTGGCGAGTATTCGTACACGCGGTACATAGCACGTAGCACCCCTAACTTTGAACAAAACGAGGAACAAACCCCGATGTGTAACGTGACGCTACAATAATATAATATAGACTTCATTTTTTAAATCTTTAATAAGCTCACTTCGCCTGATCATCTGCTTCTCTCTTTGGGTAAACGTAAAAAATATATAGATATACATATATTTATATCCATATTTATATGTGTATATATCTATGTATTCTTTCTCTCTCTCTCTCT